ATGGTCTACAAACCCTTTTCTGATAAAATAAATTTTGTTTTCTTTTTTAAGTAATAAAAAAACAATTCGTTAATTTTTCAACCAGCTGGTTTTTGGGTTTTTTTGTCGTTTAAATTTTTCCAAACCCAAATTTAAATTTCTAATGCCTCCGAAAACCATAAATTTTTTTTTCTTTAGGGGAAAAGTCGATAGTTGTTAAAAAAATGTTTAAAAAATTTTTTAAAGTGCTTTTAAAGTTTTTTAAAAATGAAAAAATAGTGGGAAACACAGTTATGTGGGAAAATCGTAAAAAAAGTTAAAAAAGTAGAAAACAAAATACCCCTTTTACAAATTTTACAATTGCGAAAGAAATTAAAGCAAAAAAAAGTTCATGTATAAAGCAAATGAGTATTTTTTGGAAACCTTTAACAAGGTAATAAAATAAACAGTTTTTGAGAAATAATACTAAATACTATGTGTTTATCATTATATATTTGTTTATTAATTATTTTAACGTGTAGTAAATGTTCATGATTCTTAGTGATATTTTACATTCCGTAATATGAAATTAATAAGATTTTATTTATGAAAATTTAAAACATATTAAAGACATATAAAACTTGTATAATTGAGACCTGTAAAACTACACACATAGTTTTGATTTTTAAATAAGTGACAGTAATTGGTTGAGATTTATAATTATTATACGGAAATTAATTTTTTTATCTGTTTACATATTTATTGTTGATGGAGGAATTTTGTAAACAAAAATATCTAAAATTAAAAAAAATAAATATGCTTAAAGTCAAGTCTATACATGAAAATAATTATATATACATGTATTGAACATCGATTCTTACTGAAAGCTTAGATATATGTAGTGTATTTGTAAACGCGTAACAAGGCGGGGGTCTGAAAAATAAGTGACCACCCCCACCCCAAACATACATAATCTCCTCAGAATTGTTCTTAAATCAACTTTATCAACTGTATTGTGTACGCATTTGCGATATATTGGATTGCACGTGTTGACACGTGACATGTCTAAATTCATTAATGACCGAATCAATATTTGCGAGTATATTTGGTAAATTCGTATGGACATATTGCAATGTATTGCGTGATTAGTTCCCATATTCTAGATTGAGTTGACAATCATAACAAATTTGTAGAAGTGGTTTATCAAAAATAGTCCGGGGTTTAAAGGTGAAATAATTTACTTAATGCCAATTCAGATTTTTAAATTCTCGTCCACTCACGCTAATGTCATTAGAATAATTCGTGATTTACATGAACATGATTCCTCGAATGAATATCCTCATAATGAACGAATTCATCTAATATAACGAGAACTACATATCATAAATAAAGGTTAACTGTATAAAGCTAAAACTGCAATAATTCATTCTATAGGCAAAAGTAATCTCGAGTGATTTATTTTAATCATTTCATACCATTCATTTTCAGAATATAATCAAGATACCTCAAACATTTACGCTGTAGTTACTTAGGAACGATTTCTATCAAAAGAGAGCTTAAATGTAAATACAGCGTACGTATTTGTCACTGAATGAGTATTGTATATACATGATATATACATGTATTATATATTAATATATATAAGTGAATGGTTTAAGTGACATTATGTCCAGTAACACCGCAGTTTGGGTTCATACGCACTTAAGAGTCCAACGCACTTTGGGGTCAAAAACGAGAAATGAACCCCAAAGTGTGTTAGTGTGCAACATATCAACGCACTTTGGGTTAGAAAGTTCTGAAGGTGCAATCTGAATTCTACGGTGGCTCAAAGGTGACATGTGTGTGTTTTTATTTACCTTGTGCGCACGAGATACTATGTCGTGGCCACGAGTTACTAAGTCGAGATAATTAACCAATCAGAATACACTATACATGTATATATTATGAATATTTTAAACTTAACAACTTACTTTTCCGGCAACATTAATCTTTGAAAATACTGAAGATATTCACTTTGAAGTTGTCTTTTGGATTATATTAGAAAGTCACCTTCCAAGGCCCATCAGACAATAATGTTGACTATAGCCCTTTTTTGGGACAATTTTGTGACCGAATTTGTCAGTTTGTACGTACTACGGCCTGTTAACCTTGTTTATACAATTACATGAGAAGGAATAAGCCCTGATTTATTTTGTTTGGAAGGGACGTTGCCCATGGACATTAAATAGCCTATAAGGATGTTTGAGGTCTAGGGTCAAGGTAACCATGACACTTCATGTAAAATCCTTGTCTGATAAATAATTTAGAAGGGATAAGCCACGGTTTATATAACCCAGAAAGATCATTGCACCTGATCAGTAGATGACATCTAATAATTTCGAGGTCATTGGGTCAAAAATCAGGGTCACAGTGACGCTAAATGAAAATTTATTGACCAGTCTATAAGTTGTATAAAAGGCACTTTTACAGGCTGGTGAAGTAGGGGCATCCTTGCACAATAGCACATGTCCAGTTAATTAGGAAAAAGTTCATATAAAGAGTGTAATCTAATTGGTTATTTATCTCGTGGCCACGACATAGTATCTCGTGGCCACGACTTAGCTATCTCGTGGCCACGACTTAGTAACTCGTGGCCACGACTGAGTATCTCGTGGCCACGACTTAGCTATCTCATGGCCACGACTTAGTAACTCGTGGCCACGACATAGTATCTCGTGCGCACGAGATAAATAAAAACACACACACGTCACCTTTGTGCCACCGTAAAATTCTGATTAAATACTGAGTATTTACATATCTGCAATCTTGATTTATTGACCTAGCGTCATTTACAACCTAAAATATCTAATATCACAAATGTGTTGTTGAATATAAAAGATGTTTCAAAGAGCATTATGTTGTGTCACCCATTTGCTTGATAAGTTTTGGTGTTATATTGAATCCTAAATTAAATATTATGTGGATGTAACAAAAAGCAGTAAATATCATCTAATTGCATCTTATTTGCATACAATTCAATTTCTGTTTAAATGATTTATAACAAGTATGTTAGAAAAAAATAGTCATTAAAAGTTGCGTGAGGGCTACAGCTAAATTCCATTACAAGCTTTCATTTCATTACAATTTTCAATTTTCCTAAATGTGTGGACAACATGACATCGCTAATTAACAAAATACGTAATGTTGCGAATAATTTAAATTTAAACTGCTACTGTAAGTAAATTTAAAGTATTTCTAAATACCGGTATACATTTATATGTCTACAAAGGCTTACTTTCAATTTAGGGCTATTTTGAACGCCATCTTAGACTAAAAATGAAATGACACAGGTGTAATTTAATGACAACGTTGATAAGCAGCACGAGGCATTTTACATTCAGGATCAATGGAATCTAACTGGTTATTTTGAAATTATTGTAAGGTTTACCAAAATGTTTCTGTTTTATGTGTCATTAAAACGCTGCCATTCTGTAATAACCACCATATCAGAAAAGAAATAAATATAATATAATATTTTCCAATAAAAATACCTCATACGTGTTTAAAATCATTCCGGTCATAAATGGACGAATTTCGTATAAATATGCACTAATTGTCATGATCAGTTCATGAACAAAGCTTAAAGATATACTATGCTCAAATTTCATATTTGAAAATAGTTATAATTGCTACATAGTCTCTTTGTAAATATAAAAAAAACATATTCTAGCCTCACACAAGGTAGATATGTTGTGTTTAAAATTCTAAACAGTATAGGTGGTTACAATATAAATATATAGTGCCATTAAAAAACTGGCAGTTTTTTTTAAAGAAAAGACCAATATCACTTGAACTGTAATAGGGCTCGCAGCTTCTTATACATAATTTATTCATTCTTTTATTCAACATATTGGACATATTCGGTAAGAATTACATAGATTTCAATCAATTTTTGTGATGAAAATATTTCACGCAAGGATGAGCATATCTTTATTATGTTATTATTATAAGAATCTAAGACCGGCTGCCGGTATAGGCAATGACGTCATTTAAAACATGCAACTCGTCTAACGCAGAATTTTCTAGCATCTGTGAACAGAACATAATCCTGACTGATATGCAAGGAACTGTAGTATTACACTAAATACATATCAAACATATAAAACTTACTGAATGTATCTAACTTTATTCTATAATAAAAGGCACACAATAGAACACTGAAATTATAATTAAATGCAAATTGCAACCCTTATATATGAAATGATATGAAAAATAAAAAATATCGTCAGCTTTTGTTATCTTACTAAATACTTTTTAGTTTATTAGTTCATTCCTTATTTTCTAGTTAACCATTTAAATAAAGTGCAAGATATTACTGTAAAATATCACTTACATTCATTTTTATCGCTTTAATTTTTATGTCCACAAAGTCTGTTTGTCTGATGTTAAAATTCCATATGTATAACTGTGGAAAGCAACATAGGGTCAAAATCGGACCACAAAGTGCCTAACGCACTATGGGGTTCGACCCCAAAGTACGTAACGCTCTTTTGGGTCGTACCCCAAAGTGCGTTGGACCTAAAGTGCGCTGTTATAGGTTTATAATGAACAGGTGAAAGTCAATTTTTTTTCTCATTTTGCTATAATTCCTTTCAATTTTACAAACTAATTCGCATTAACGATAAATATCTCAAATGGCCCAAACATATCGGAATTTACCTGTATCATTTAATTTATAAAATGATAGGGAATGTTTTTTATATTTAGTGCATATTTATATGTTATCCTTAACATTTTTCGACACCAATTATTGGTCAGTCACAAATAAAACAGTAACTCTTTTTGAAAAAAAATATAGACGATTCAGCTCATGATGTGAATATATGAATGAAAAATGTTTCAAGTATAGACTCAGCATCTCATTCATTTAGTTTACATTTAACGTTTTTGATGATGAAATGATGTTATACTAAAAGCCACAAGAATATTAATTACTATCTCAAAGAATTATACACATGTTTCCACTTAAGAAACACTCAAATGAACCTTTTTATCTCACATTTAAAATCGTAGTTTTTCTTTGACGTAATATGTGTATATTGGTAAAGCAGTTACGTAACATATGAAGTGCTTCATGCTAAGGAATAAACTGTAAATTATAACTGTTACAATAAAAAGGAATACATTAATTCAATGTGCAACATTAATGAATTCAAAATTGTGAAAACAGGAACATATCATACATTATGTAATGTAAAACATTGGAAACCAAAGCGCTTACATAAAGCGCTACGTGAAAGTTAACATTGTTTATGTCAACATTATAAAGAGATATTATATACTAATAGTACGATGTATTTTGTTAGATAGCAACACTATCTGGAATATTGTACAAACTTAAGTTACAGGATCAATTCCACAATCTTTTGGAGGTAAACAATTCTACGTATGTGTGCTGTTCTACAGAAATAAGAAACGTCGCTTGGAGAAAATGTTTCTAATTTCTGAAAAACAGCACGGATGAATACCAGCATATATAGTTTCAATCTTTATTTGGTTTCATTTATATTACTTTATTTAAGAAATAATATATCCCAAACTGTGATTTTATCGCTCAATAACATCACTGTTTGGAGTTCGGATGCGAGCAATTATATCACGAGGGCGTAGCCCGAGTGATATAATGATGCGCATCCGAACGACAAACAGTGATGTTATCCAGCGATAAAATCACCGATTTGGATATATTATTTCGATTCTAACACGACGTAAAAAAATTAATGCTGCCGTACCTGCTATTAAACAAAATTGCGCCTGATTTGTTTCCGTACTTATTGTTTGCGCGTCGGATTTTATTATAAATAGTGGTTACGTCACATGTATAATGATTACGTCACATGTCTAAATATAGAACGTCAAACAGTGACTATATTGCATAATAACACACACTTTCGGTTCTTCTATGTTCAATTGGGACAAATGTGGGTCGTGTTAGAATATGTCATTTATGCAAATATTTATCTTTACGAACGCGGTTCTATAAAGTACTATGAAAATAAAAGGTGACTATGAACGGAATTTGATATAGTATTGTCTTCTGCTCTTCCAGGGCTGGGAATCAAAACTGCGTCGTATCCTACAAAATGTAAACAAACGCCGCCATCTTGGAACGAAAAACGTATGTTTTTGTTTATAACTTTTTTTGTTGGAAATGACTGAAAACCAGATATATGTATTAACACGCTACACTATTTTCCGCTTCGTTCGGTATATGTTGCTTGCACAACTATTTTGTAAAACAAAAGTTATAGCGAACTTGCTTCTCGAAGCGGGGCAGAATTTTTATGAAAATGTGTGGATACGACGCAGTTCATATTGCTTTATCTATCGTTTTTTCCTTCAAATCAATTATATATTTCTTTCAGAGTTCACCATAAACTTCGAAATATAATTTTGCATCAGTTACTAAAATTTCATTAAATAGAGATGTTTATTTTCTTAGAAAATAATGATTTTTACGAAATGATACGACGCAGTTGAAAATAAAATATGATACGACGCAGTTGTATTTTTGGCAGTCTTTTCAACAGGGATAATTTTGGCAAAATATTTCTATTTAATGGAATAATCACTTGCGCTAGATAACCCCCCCCCAGATCATTTGCGGTGTATAGCAATGTTCTGTTGCTTTTGATTATTTAGAATACATTGTGTCATGTCCAATATATAACATTTAATTTGAAAGTTTACATTGCGGAAGCAACTTTTCAATTAAACATGTTACCTAATTGATCATAATATCTGAAATAATTTCTTATATTTTCCTGTATGTTCAATATTATCCCTATTTTTTATTCGCAAAAAATATAGAAATCTTGAATTCATGTTGGCTAGCTACGCTCTAAGTTAACTGTGGTTCTGCATGTTCTGGGTAATGACTGCTTTTTTTGTGGTTTGTTAACAAACTTTCACTCTACACATTAGCTTTACTAGGGGCGAGGACCTCAGGTGCGCCTTTTTGCATTATTTCAGGCAAAATGTTGCACCTGCAGAGAACCATCGACATTTTGAATTTAGCTTGATAGGTTTTCCACACGAAAGAATAAAAAGTCCCTGGTGGTTTTCGAATTCATAGCAGTTCACTTCAAGTGATTTGAATTCAGTAAACATAAACAGCTCGGCCACGGTCGGACACACCTGTCTGATTTGTTTTTTCAACAAAATTTGTTAACGTCAGCTGTACAAATAAGCAGCTTTTTTATTAACTTCGGGCGTAAAGTTATAAGATTATAAATATTTGAATTAATTATAAAGACAATAACATTTAAATTTCTTATTTCGGTATGACTAGAAGAGAAATTTTCAATGTAAACAGGGGGTAATCCTCTGTGAAGTCATTTTCTGAAAACCTTTGTTTAAGTTTTCAGGCAATTCATTATCAAATAAAAATCACACTTTAGTACGAAGGGATGTTTAGATGCCATGTCTCTAGTCTGTTGAAAATTCGATGCGATAATCTGACCTTAATTTTCTGTTCAATATTGTGAAAACTTCTTCAATACTATTGAAAGATCATGTATGCCTATATCTGTATCAAATTTATCGGTGCACAGCGTAAAATACCTTTGCAAAACGGACACCTTCTTTACAAAATAATCTGTATCATATGTAACTCGATTTTGAAAATTTAAAGTTTTTTAATGGAGAAGAATGATACTTAAGTGCAAATATAGAAAATACATTCCGTAGACCTTTCCTCATCGACGATAAAGAAATGCAATACGACAACATCAGAAAAGTTCCGCGGCGCTGAACATAAAATGACTAAACGGAACGCATAACCTACTTGCAAAAATATATTGTAGCTTAACCATTTATAATATAATTTTAAAAATTTAATGTTCAGTTTCAAATAATAAAGCTCATCTGTTCTCACCGATTATTAAGAAAATGAATACAATAAAATCGGCACGTAAAAGACATAAGTAATAACGGAATTGACGGAAATTATTGCTAGTTACAAGTAACAAAGGTAGGCATGCAATTTGCGCATAGCTCTCTTCCGATAGCAAGAGACATTTTCAAAATTTGTAATTCTTTCTCTCTGTTTTTTTTTTTAAAAAAAAGGGTCATTCCTGATTAATACTAGTTCAGAGTTCAGGAGAGGTTACACTGGAATATTGAATTTTGTATCAAAAATTGTAATCACTCCCATTTCGATCTCACGGGAACAATTTTAGAAGCATGCTAAGGCAACACTGGAACACGTTGTCATATGGTTGTGCGATCACGTGTTTATTGCACAATGTGTATTGCATTTTGATACAGTTTTTTGGAATTTGTAGATGCTTAATATGATTGGTACTTAAATGTGACCGAAAAATGCAGCCTTAATAGAATTGTATTACATTTCCATTTTTATGGAACCAATTAATAAGTGACCTTTGCTTTTGACTTAAGTTGTAAACAAGAAATATTGTTGGACGTTATTAGCATACCTAGCACATAATTTAAATAGTTTAAAACCAATATGCAGCCTGCAATGAAAATACAACTGCGTCGTATCATATTTTATTTTCAACTGCGTCGTATCATTTCGTAAAAATCATTATTTTCTAAGAAAATAAACATCTCTTTTTAATGAAAATTTAGTAAATGATGCAAAATTATGTTTTGAAGTTTATGGTGAACTCTGAAAACGAGCATATAATTGATTTGAAGGAGAAACGATAGATAAAGCAATATGACCTGCGTCGTATCCACACAGTTTCATAAAAATTCCGCTTCGAGTTGCAAGTTCGCTATAACTTTTGTTTTACAAAATAGTTGTGCAAGCAACATATACCGAACGAAGCGGAAAATAGTTTAGCGTGTTAATACATATATCTGGTTTTCAGTCATTTCCAACAAAAAGAGTTATTAACAAAAACATACATTTTTTGTTCCAAGATGGCGGCGTTTGTTTACATTTTGTAGGATACGACGCAGTTTTGATTCCCAGCCCTGTCTTCTATGAAAATTAACCCAAAGAATTCTTAAGACATACAGCATTTTTATCGCATGGCAAATAAAGCTTGACCCTTAGGACATTTTTTATCAGATAGGAATAAGAATTTAAAAAGTAATATCCTTGTACAACGTAATACCACACAACTTTTTATATCTGTTTGTCAAGTCATTTGCTCTTTAGCTGCTGGGTTTGTGTAATGGATTTGCTCAGCTTTGTATTTGGAACAGTTCATTTAAAGTTTTGATAAATAATTAAACTTAAAAGTTTCATTACAAAAACGAAACTATGTAGTTATTCTTTTAATTATTTAATTATACTTGAACTGAGAACTACAAATATATTGATTGATAAAGTTTCGTACACAGCAATGAAAATGTTTATAAAATTGTACGTTGTACCAAGAAAGATATATGCCAATTCATATTCAATACGATGTTCTTCTTAGTAATTAATTATAAATATACACACATTGATATTTTGAACTGGAAAGTGGCTATACACATGTATGCACATTTACTTTTATTTCCAAAAGCTTAATTATATATTACACTGGAGAAAGTAATAAATATTTATCGATTTTTTAATTTTGTTTCTTGAGAATCCTATACAGTCAACTATCGTTATCTCGATATCGCTTTTCTCGATATTTGGTTATCTCGATGAAATTTTGAAAGTCCTGATTTTCTTCCTTCTTTATCTTTATTGGAAATATTTGTTTTTCTCGATATTGTTATTTCGATATTTTCAGTATCTCGAAGTAAAATTTCAGCCCCGACAGTAATTTTCACGCTATTATCCTCTCTTTATCTCGACTAATAATCTTTCGTCTCTTCCCCGCAGAGGTGTGAAAAACACAAACCAGACGAGAATCACTTAATAGCATGTCATAATGATGACTATGTTTGTAACAAGTCCAGCTTTGTTTATAAAAGTTTACCTAATTAACGTATCGATTGATTTATGTCCAAAATGAGTGAATCTTCCACTTTTTATAAAATATACAAATACAAAATTTGTATTATAAAATATACGAACATTGTATTTAATTCAATGCTCCTTTAGATGTAAATGAAAAAATGTTTAGTATAGAAACAAAATCGTTGCAATATTGTATTTATGTTGGTATGTAAAATTAATATCATTTTTATGACAAATGACTATGTAGAAATAAAATTGTTGACAAAAGCTTTATATGAGGAGGTATATAAATTTTAACGAATATAGAATGTTCAGTACTACGAAAGGCGGTGCAATGGGCGTGGCTGGTTGCATTAAATACCAGTGGCATCCAGGAACATTCTGCAATATATTTAACTAAGGCATTTTAAATGACCGTATGGATGTCCACTTTTCAAACATATTTGAATTTTGTTTGTTTTATCCAAATTGATTCTTACATTTTCAAAATGTTACACACAAGTTTTACATTAATTCACTAATATTAAAATTGTCAAAAACATTTGTGTCCACTTTTATGACTAAGATATACGTTAATGTAAAACATTTTCAATATATATATATCGCTTATTCTAATTTTAACACGACATTAAACATTATGTTAGTTTGCATATTTGATTATGCAGATGGTTAGATATATCCCCCTTTACTTAAAACAAGATAATAATCATTTATGATATGTTATTTATTCATATTCATTCATATGTATATATAGATTATTTATATTCGAGCAAAAGGTATACCCGTGCTGTGTGTTGTATGATCATCTAAGCGTAACTTTAACTATGTATACTCATTAATAATAATATACAAGTCAATACTGTATAAAAAGGGTATTTCTCCGTTACAGACCTGTGGTTTTTATAAAACACTAATTAAACAAAATTTCGGTTGAAACGGGAAATTGAAGAGACATGTATTAACTACGGTGTTAACTTGGGATAGAGCTTTATTAACTAGTATGTAAACTATGCTATGAATGTTATTAATATGGTTAGTGCTTATTCAATTTGAAAGAAGAATTTGGTATAAACATATATCATATTAGCTGGATAACGAAACAAATTTTTGCAACTTATATTAATCACTTTCTAGTCCGCTTCCTGGAACCAACCAGTAATGGTGTCATATGAAGAAACATAGTCATGCCCCGAGTAGAGCTCGAACATATGATCTCTTGGTTGAGAGGGAAACACCTTAACCACTAGGCCACCGCTCCCTTTAGGTTTCTCCGGTTATATGGCCCAGTACAAACGGCTGTAAAGATATTTATCACAAGTCGAATGGCAAGGTTATATATATAGCAGAAGTATCTACACGATTATTGCCTTTATAACGAACTTGTCATGCTGTACAACAGTCTTATAAGAATAAAACATATATAAGTAATAAGTGACACAATTATAGAAAGAAATCTACATTACAAAAATGCAGTCTTTATTAAATACCGTACAAAAATATCCTGCACGTGTTTTGAGATACATTTATGTACGTGTATTTATGTGAAAATCAACTTCATCCTCATCTTGCAAGCATCAGTTTAAATTTTAGGTAGTCATGCGAATTAAATGGCTTCTCGAATATCTCGAATACGAATTTGCCCAGTGTTAAACTAATTTGTACAAAATACGAACATGTCATATGAAGTAGTAGATCAATAACGCTTTCGGCTTTGTATAAATAATCCATTGATGAGTTGAAAACCTTATCGGGTAAGTCTATCGGGTAAGGTATAATAGAAAATATAAGGTACTTTTTATAGGCTTATGATTTTAGTGATTAAAGATGTTGGAAGTTAAAACAGGAGCCCAAGAGCAATGGCGATGGGTGGTTTTAACAGGCGCATTTTGCTGTCATGCAATAACCTACGGGATTGTTTACTCATTTGGAATACTGTTTATAGCTTTAGAAGAAAGGTTTGAAGGAAGTAAAACTGAAATAGCATGGATACCTTCGCTCACTACCGGGCTTCTGCACTCTTCAGGTAGCATTTCACTAACATGTACCAAATATAGTTAAAGACTATTATCTTTATATACATTATATTCATTTTACAAATTAATTAAACAAATACCTGGACGCTGAAAATTGTTGACTACTAGTATATGTTACTGTAACAAAATGCACTTGTTTGTGGTGTTAAATATATATAGCGTGTATGCGTAAGACAAATAATTAGCTAATAATCTTTTGTACGAGATTCGAGACACTGAGCATTTCCGAGATACTATGATGTCTTATTGATTGTGCATGAAAAATGTGGCGCTTGTTTTCAGAGAAGGAATCATGCATAATGCGGAATCAGACATACACTTTTATGCAAAAATAGCGCGATTGCATTTGTTTTCATGCATTAACATTTGAAGAAGCGGTCGGATATATTGAATTTATGTCCCTGTGACATTCGGGCTTTAAATACGTCCTCGTGCCTATGACTGTTGAGTACCCGCAGATATAATCTCAAGAAAAATGTTTGCAATTTAATTCCAGATTTTAATGATGCCCTATGCGTTGATTGCTTCAAACATTATAAAACAATATATATTTTACTATATCCCTTGCTATGTTGATTTTGTCAATTGTATTTTCATAGTGTCTTACTGAATCTTCTTCACTAACGTTAGTTAACAACGCATTTAAAACGCACTATATACAGCTGTTCATTTACAAATAATACTAATTAAATCATCGGGTACTGATTTTGTACTTTTACTATATGAAGTAAATACGCAACGAGTACGCTTGGGTGACCTAGGATGTAGTTAAATATGTTTCAACTCATCTACATTTTTATTCGTCTCACATTATTCAGTATGTTATGAAGTAACGTTAATGACTTTTAATATGTTAATTATTAATAATTATTAAGTTATTTAAAAGTATTATATAAAACTTTGTCTTCCATTCAAATCCTGTTTTGTAACAAACTTTAAAAATGTTTATTTACATTTTGTGAACTGTAACTTGAATATATGATCCATTTTTAGAAATAAAGTATTTCTAAACTAGACAGTACATGTTAAATATGAACTAATTTACGTTTCACTTATAAGATTGTGAAGGCTTTTGCTTAAGACAATTTGGTCACAATTTATAATTAACTACCTTTTGTATATTTCAATAGGTTTGTTAGCAAGCATATTGGTCAAAAGATTTGGATGCAGAATAGTTACAATATCTGGTGCCATTATATGTTGTGTTGGATACATATTAAGCATTTTTGTACCTAACGTTTACATCTTATACCTAACCATGGGTCTCGTATCAGGTAAAATATGGTTGTTTATATTTCTTGCCATTATTAAATGTTTAACGATTCACATTAAGTTATATATAGACACTTATGATTAAATTCAACAACTTTTGTATGCATGTAATAAATTAGAACTAAAATGAATGGCAAATAATTTTTTTATAACATTCAATTTTAACATTGATGACTAAATCCAAAGAAATAATATATCACATACTAAAAATAAAAAGGGCAACGAAAAATTATTTTGTACCATTCAATTTAGACACTATGTGAGTAAATCTAACTCTTTGTGATACATAATATACTAATATAGAATAGAATGGCAAGGATGTTAAAATTAGAATAGAACCTCGTTCATCTGAATATGCTACGATACCTTAATTTTTATGTTTAAAGCATGGATAACATTAAGTCCTTGACCTCCTGGGTTTTTTGGTTTGTTACATAGATCCACTATGCTTTGAATATGGAATAGTCAGTTCAAGAATAAGGGGATTAAAAATACCTTAGACTCTGGCAAGACTGTGAGGATATGCAGTCTGACATGGCCCTATACTGGTGGCAAAAGGCACCTCACTCGAGGTTCCAGCAAGTTAAAGATTAAATCCATTGCTTTCATATGATTCAGGTTGTGGATTTCTATCTATTAACATATTCTAATGTTTCAGGTTGTGGATTCGGGATGGTGTTTTTGCCTGCAGTGCTGATAGTGACACAATATTTTACCAGACTTAGATCAGTTGCATGTGGTATAGCTCTGTCAGGGTGTGGTATAGGTGTTTTCATTTTCAGGTTTGTATAAAATCTTTTACAGTTTAGGTCTACTAATATAACCATTTTTTACAAAATAACTGATATTGTTTTGATTAATTATTAATTAATCCGTTTATTAGCTATATCAATGATAATTATATTTTCTATTGTAGATTTTATAAAGCTATCTTCGTTGTTGATGTTGCTGTTTTTGTTTGCTCTTTAAAGCTGTATCATAACCAACTCTACAATTGTTTAACTAATTGTTCTTTCTTCATTTCAATCACTTGAAGCAGTTATTCAGATGGTTGAAATATGTTATACGATTTTTGTTCAGTTAATGAGCAATTGATGTTTGTTTTCTTGGGCTTTAAGTCACATTAGGGTATATGGCGAGTTTCCAGCTTTCAAAGGGAAAGACATCAGGTGCCCCTTCATGCATATTTGCTAGCTTGGTTTCAAGCTTTCTTGCATGACAGAATTCAGTCTTGACAAAGTGTGATCCCTCGGTCTGTACAAAAATGAGAGATAATAAAAAGTGCAACATCCGTCAAGCCCTTAGCACCGGCTTGAGCGGTACTCACTTTACAACACTTAAAAGTGTTGCAATGATCTTTTTTAGGACCAGAAAAATGGAACAACACAGAAGTGAAGTATGAACGACGTTTTACAGCGGCCACACAACACTTGGTACATACAAAGTCCCAGTTTTATTTCTTAGTGTCATATGACATTATTTTTTAGGTTATATATGGAAATATAATGGAAATACAATGATTTAATAGTACTGTTGCGTTGAAATTAACCACCAAAGTATATTTTTATAAATCATATGTACTTATGTATATTTTTTCATAGAATAAAGATTTCATTTATTTATATTTATAAGTTTCATAGAAAATCTTTCTTTATTGTAGCCCCGTTATGAAACTTTTATTGGACCTCTACTCACTGGATGGGACATTGCTAATATTGTCGGCTGTTATCTTGAATTATATTCCTTGCGGGCTGGTTTTCCGACCCATATCAACAAAACTGGAACAAAACTCGGAGCAAAATGTTCGTAAACGTGGCACCATTGATGAAGTTGATTTCGGGGCAAATATTTCTTTACTGAATAATGACAGTAGAGAAGTATCAGCAACATCAACTGAGGCTACTGATGTAACAGTTGTACCTAAAACAAGTGACGAAACAGATAACCTTGCCGAAACCCATAACTACAAGCGTGGAGACAGTACAGACAAGACAATTGTTATTGAACAAACAAATAAATGCCAAGTGTTGCAATCCGAAAAAGCTTCAACTTTTGAATTAACTAAATATTTAATCATAATGAAAAGAAAAGAAGTCTTCATATTTATGATATCACAGTTTCTTTTCATTTTTGGATTTTATCTGCCATTTATTTTCATTCCTGATATGGCAAAAAGTTTTGGTAAATATATTAAACATTTACCCTTATGATGAAGTAAGTTGTTACACATGACTTCTTAAACATCTTATTTTATTTCATGAGTGCACTTATATTTCTCCCTTCAGCTATTAATAGAAATATAATAATTTACAAATACGAATATCTAATGTCAAAACGCAATACGCTGTAATTTGAAACGGGTTTTTTATCTTCAATAACAGGAATAAGTGAATCAAGTTCTGCATGGGTGGCATCCGTCATTGGGATCTCTAGTACATGTGGAAGAATTATTCTAGGTTACATTGCTGACAGACCGTCTATTAATAGGTATGTTTTGTGTTCTTTTTTTTTTTTTAAATATTGCGCTTTCATGTTCACTTGTACTGACTGTAAGCACTTTCTTTAAATATTTTTTATTGACTTGTCCATGTTTTGATCTGCACAAAACTGGTGAACATTTTTTGGGGTAAACTTTAACATAAAAGCAATACACATCATGACCAGACGTCTGATCTTGATCTGAACCGGTCGCATGGGTTGAATTAGTTGGCGGAAGCAGCGTTAGCTTGATACCATGTAGTCCGGTGTTCTGTGATATCACGGTATTCAACGTTCTTCGGAAATATTCAAATATAAATATCATACATGAATGAGATTTTTCTTCTATCTAAAAAGTGAACCTTATCCAGAACTGTTTGACAAAAAATTATTTCAAAAGACATTTTTTAAACTATTTCCAATGTCGGCCATTTTGGTGAATTTCAGAGGAGGTTACTATGGTATCACGGTAGTCCCCAAAAAATCAAGTATGGAAGGATAGATTGATCGAAACTTTCAAGTTAAGTTGTGAGTTAACTGGCTATAAAATTCAAACTACATGTATATGAACAGACGATATGTCAGAATATGTTATTATAACATATTTTAATTGACTTAGGAAAAACGATTAAGGAAAATAGTCGTCAAATATGAATGTTTTATAAAATAGTTTTCTTCCCACGAATACATTCATTATTCACAAAAAAAAATTATTGGCAGATGAAAATGAATTTAGTGTGCCAGTTTAAAAGATATTAGCATCATTGTGTGTTGGTTTTACTAGCAGTCAAAGAAAATGTAAATACCGTGATATCATAGAACCCGTGATATCATAGAAACCGAGTATACTTGACTAAAGCATCCAATTATCATATATTCTTAAACTATCAAAACATGACTGCTATAGCACGTGGAAGGAAAGTCATATTATATTACATTTATATTGATGTTAATACAATGCAAAATTGATAGATTGAGCTAAAGTTAACATATGATATTTTGTCCCAACTGTAGTAAAAATATACAATAATAATCTTAGTGGGTAATCAAAATGTATGTTATTTGACATATAATTTAGCAATATTTGACTTTAATCTTCTTTGTTCAATGCCTTAACCTGCTTTATTACCATACAGGCTGTGTATGTTCAAAGTAACATTACTTCTCACTGGGTTAAGTACATCATTATGTCCAGTGTTTGAAAAAATGTGGCTATTGCTTACATACGGTGTTGTGTTCGGTGTGTCGGCAGGTAAGTTTCTTAAATGATCAATTAATTAAGATACTTTTACCAAATCTGCAAGTGATTATCAGTTTTATCTCGCTTGTTTTTTTTTTACGTGACACCAACACTGTTGAGGTTACACTGTGATTTCCAGCTTTACTGGAAAAATCTCCTGTGCCTTTTGTGCAATATTTCAGGCACGGAAAAGCTTCTATGTAGAACCGCCAACCTTCCGTTGGGTGGATAGCTCTATTATATGAAAGAATCCAAAGTCCCTGTGTAGCGGAATTCGAAGCAAAGTTTAAGTGTGTATGTATTGATAATACTTGCATTACAAATTAAGCGTTCCATCCGTTCGGTTATGTTCCTGCTATAATCATTTCAATACAAATCAATCATATTATGTTTCTTTTTTCAGGTTTTAATATTTCAGTTACATCTGTTGTTATACTGGATTTTGTTGGACTAGAATATTTGACAGAAGCTTTAGGGCTAGCATCACTGTTTGGTGGAATTGGTTCAGTGCTTGGTCCTCCTTTTTCAGGTAGTCTTTGTTACCACGTGATATTCTTTGTTTCAAATTGCAAATATGGCACATTGGTAAACTATTATCAATATATGGTAAACCATTATCTTTTAATTTCATGACAAAATTGATATTCAACTTCACTTTATTAATTTAAACATATATTATTACGTCAAATACACGTCAAATATGATGCGTTTGTAACAAAAAGCAAATGGGTTGGGCAACAAGTTTTAGCAATATTAGATTAAGCCCTTCCCATATTACAAACTAATATATCATGGGTGTTCATTTATTTTATAAACTTATATATCATGGTTGTTTATTCAACTGAAGCGTTTGTTTGATTGTGATACTTTTTCTTGGATAAATTGGTTTGAAATTTAGTTTGTCCTTGGATAAAATGTGCAAACACCTGAAGGAAGCAACTATAAATCCCAGCATTATGATTTCCGAGTAATAATTAAATAAATTAAATAGTCTGACAGTCGTTTTCACGTCGTATAAGTTTGACAGTATCATTTCAAATAAAACATAAATATTGCCAGGAGATAGCCTTACTGACATTCATTCGCAAGCACTTTTTTCATTAAAATTGTCCTTTTTAATAACACCTGATAATAGACTCTATAAACATGTTTAAGCATATAAAAGAAAACCCAATACTCCTTCTTTGGATGATCAATAAATAACTCATTGAATAATTAAAATTAACATAGGGAAAAAATCTTCTATATTACTCACTGGGGGCCACTTTATCTGAAACATCAATATCTTGCCTTTAAATCTGTTTGGCAGGTGCATTTACATTTGTACTTTGAAGGACAATCTTGACACTTTAGTTTAATATCAACATATTTTGTCACAGCACATACATGTATAATATTGTACAAGTTGTAAGTATACAAAAAGCAAATGGGTTGGGCAACAACTTCTAGCAATATAAGGTTAAGCTCTTCCAAGACACATGAATATTTTACAAATTTAGACTTTTTGAATATGAATGTTTGTAGAAAAAATAACATCGCCGAGGACAATAATTTTAGTACTATCACATACATATTCACGTGTATGATAATTATTTAGATTTGTATGTTCTAATTACATTTATATAAAATTAATTTTCAGGTTTATTGTTCGACTTAACCGGAAGTTATACGGCACCTTTCCTAGTATCGGGAGGTTCTATGTCATTGGCAGCTATACTTATGTTCAATGTATCATTCTGTAGTAGAACATATGAAAAATACAATTTTTGTTTAGTTTTTATTCATTGTCCTAAGAGACGCTTTGATTACATTTGACAGTCAATGCTTCTTAAGATAAACGAATTCAATAAAACTGTTCGAACAGATGACCGATAGGAGGGATGCTGGCTTGGCAAGAGAAATTTTTATTGCGTTAATGAAATACTGGTTTTCACAATGGTCACATTTTCTATATATATGTATTTTTTAAATATTGATAAAACCTGTACCTTAAACTTACCGAAAACATCAATATACAAATGTTTCATGGTTTGTCGTCAAGTTTGTTTTTAAATCATTTCAACATAAATGTTTTTTGGTATTACAGATCTTCGATTATAGACGATACACTTTTAACATCCTGTTTGAAAGGTTTGCATTGGCTTATGATTTTTCTTAACTAAAGTGATATTCTTCCCATTTTGTCTCAAACTGTCATGTTGAGGTGACTCAGCAATATTTTTCAAAAGATTGACTTTCGTAAAGGTTATTGACCAGTACTTGATAATGAAAAAAATGTTTAGAAAGAATATAAAACTACCTAAATCATAAAAAGTTGCCTTTTTTTAAAAATAATCAAACGCTACCGATACTTTCCCCGCACGATATTTACAGAAATTCCTTTGGGTAACGTGGATTATTGATTTTTTTTCCTAATAAATTGGTTAGTGTTTATTAGTGAGCATTTACTAAATTAAATTGGTAGAAAGGCGGCGTCGTTCTTGACCGTTTTAATTTTGTAAATGCTTACAAATAAACACTAACATATACTTACAAATGAGAGGGGCAGTCTTTTTCATATTTAAGGCAAACCAAACATTTTCCAATATCAAGTATAGGTCAAAGTCAAACGTTTTTGAATTATATAGTCAATTCTGCAGCTCAACTTGACAACAAAACAAATGAGCATAATATCACTGTTGTAACCTAACAACATCACGTCACTTTTGATAATGCAATTCTAATAAGGTTCCCGTATTGTTATTTAAAACACATTTGAGCCGCGTCATGACAAAACCAACATAATGGGTTTGCGACCAGCATGGATCCAGACCAGCCTGCGCATCCGCGCAGTCTGATCAGGATCCATGCTGTTCGCTTACCAAGTCTATTACAAGTTGAGAAACTGATAGTGAACAGCGTGGATCCTGATCAGACTGCGCGGATGCGCAGGCTGGTCTAGATCCATGCTGATCGCAAACCCATTATGTTGGTTTTGTCGTGACACGGCTCATTTATGTATTCAGTCTTCTTCTTACATGGCCAGGTATACAAGTTTGTTAGCTCTAGATTCTACAACGACTTTAACACATTTTTGCTCATAACTTGACGGTTGATCCACCTCACCAGCTTTCCTGGATGACTTACCAGTAATAACTGGTATCTCCGCAAATGACATGAGATTTCCCTCGAAAATAATAACTGATAAGTTAAATTATAAATGTCTATAATAAAACTATTTGCACGTTTACAAATCATCTGATAGTAATGCTTAATTATTACATCCAAAATGATAATACTTTCTATAGATCTAAGTCTGAGATTTGTTACGAGAAATTTAAATCTTTGTGTATTAGAAAACTTTATTTTGTTTTATCGCCTTAATTGTTGTAACTAAACGCCTGTATTGCCTTCACATACATCGATATTTTTAACAGAACAAAGTAAAGGGAAATGACTGTTGTACATAATGCGTACGATAATCTGACATTGATTTTCTTTCTTTGGTTGTCTTCCGTCTTATTTGATGGCGGAGTTTGGGTTACATATTTGCCGTAAATTCAATATATTCCGTTTTGTAATAATTCTTTCGTTTGTTAAAAGTACATCAACCGTTGTTGTTAAGCGTTAATCTTTCAAGCAATACTTTAAACAAGGACGCTTAAAAAAAGCTTTTAGGCCTCTCTCTCTCTCTTGCATTCACGCAAATGATGACAATGTCATTCAGAAATTCTCACTTTCCTTGAGATTGATTTCAAATCAAATTATACCCATATGTTGTGAATTTGTAAAATTATTTTGTTCTGCTTTGAATCTAAAAATAAGTCCGTTTGAATCTTTTATATCAAAGTACAAATATTGAGTTAACAACAGTTTAAAGTCTTGCCGGACTGTAGGGAAGAACAGGCTGTCCTGATAATGTTGGGAAAGCCTTATTATTTTCTCCTCCTGCACGTTAAGGGGAGGAAGAATTAAGGTGACTGAACTCTCTAGTATGCTAATTGACATACATGTATATACAAAAACATACAGTTTACTGTAATAATTCAGATGCCAATAATCAGAATAAAATCTTAACACTTACATTAAAAATACTTTTCATACTTATTTTCCGTTTCTTATTTAAAAGGCAGATAATTAGAACATATTAAAAATTTACCGCAACCATCTTAAAGCCATCGAAATATAATTGTTTTGCTTTCGAATAGCTATTGTTTACGTGAGTAATGGAACATACATATAATTTAAAATTCAATTGTCAACGCCGCTGATTCTTGTTGCTTGGTCGTGTGGGAGTTGCGTTCATTGAGCGCCACCTTTCATGGTTGATATTGTTTACCATTTTTTATTCAAAAGCAAAGAGCATGGAATGTACATATTTCAAGACTAAATGCCTGACTATGCTTTACTTAATACTGACAATAAAGAAGTATCATCATCATCAACTGAAGCCACAGATGAAACTGAAACGGTCGTACATAAAACAAGTGACAAAACAGATAACCTTGTCGAAATCCATAACTACAGGCGTAGAGACATCACAGACAAGAACATTTTTATTGTACATACAAATGAAATATATATATAATGCATATGACAAAACTATGCAACCTTTATCATCTTAAACAAGTAATTGCCAAGCGTCGTTTTTTTTTTAAACGTCCGTGTGGTTAAAACTAAACATCGAATGTTTAGTTATGTGTCGGCAACTTTTTAACAACATATTCATATTTAAGGCCAAATATTTTTTATATCAGTGTATAATAATCTTAGGTCTTCATATTCTCTTTGATGTCCTTTGATGTTTTTGTTTTTGACTGTTTTTATTGTAGACTTGTTGCATTTGCTACATGGTAGAAATGGTAGACATGCATATAAAAGGTGCATGTCTCTAAAAGATAAAATAAATATAAAGCTTGAAATCTAAAAATAAAATACAAAAAAAAACAAAAACAAACAGCAACAAATATATAAATTTCATTCTTAAGGAAATAAAAAAATATTTACAATTAAAGTGGTACTTATAATGTTTTGTACAAAATGTCAGATATATTACCGGCTTTATCGCACTATACATAAAATAATACATGTATTTTTACGAGAAAATGCTTTTTCTGCGGGAACTTTATCATATTTTGCCGATGGACAATGTCTCAGCATGGCTTTAAACAAACTCCTCACAGTGCTTACTTCCCTTGGCAAATCTCTGTACTGATAAATGGTGAATTGGGCTTTAATCACTTCATATGCACATTTAGTCGTTAGAACAATTTTTAATTTAAGTTTTACTAATAAAAATCAGCATGATTGTCGAAACATTTTCCTTTCATGCTAACACTTCTTTAGTTTCTTATTAGCTTAATTTTTCGCAGCTACTTATGTACAACTAACTGTTACTTTTAAGGTAATTTCATTTGTCAAAATTAGCAATGTCTACATGAAGACGTCATCATTTGTCACGTCATCTGTTGCTCGAGCAGCGATGTTATCGTTATAATTAATTTTGTCGTATCCTCGAGTTGGTGTCAGAGGAATTACAGCGTGAACATTATCCGATGCTGTCGAGTGCAAGGACGTTGTTCTGCTAAATACCCTGTTCCTACTGGTAATTGAGCTACTACGTGAAAGAGTAGTTTGAACGCTCCCGCCTCTTGATGACAGGGACATTGACCGTAGACGGGCTAAACCCCGTTTAAATGTTCCACAGGTTAAAATCTTGAAGATTCTATACCGGAAGTCACGCATCATGAAACAGTATATCCAGAAGTTGGCACTGAAACTGGTATTCAGCACCAGCTCGTATACGCATATAATGATATGGTTTTCTTCTGGGGTAATTTCGTAGTTCTTATTCAGGTGCATATATATGACAAAAACGAGTTTATATATGCCGTAAGGGAGTTCGGGTATAAGGAAGAAGATAACAATTAGAACAGCGGTGTATGTAATAATTTTATCCCGTGAAGCTCGACTGACGCTCTTCTTACATGACATCATTGACATCCGTTTCTGTGCTTTTCTCAGCTCTTTTATCGTTACAGTAGTAAGGCCAACCAATAAAAAACATGGGAGAAGATGCTCTAAAGCTACGCAGAACCAAAGAAACACGCAAGACTCTTCACATGGTATTTCAGTATCCCAGCCGCACTGGATATGAACAATTTTGTTGTCCACCAAATGGTACGAATGCAACACTATCGCACCGCAATACATTACAATGATACTTATAAAAGTTTTCCAAAATGTACAAATGCGTCCCGAAACAAAAGGATGGCAAACACACATATATCTCTGAATACAAAGTAACACCGTCTGCCAGACGGACACGGTATGGAACACCGGGGAGACATACAATCTCAGAATCATGTAAGCATTACACCAGTCTTTAGTCAAGATGAAGTTACCATTTGCATATACATGGAAGCTATTTGGAAGAAGTGTCATTCCGGTCAATGTATCGGAGACGGCGATGCTTACAAACAACAAATTTGTTGCCTTTCCTCGGTTTTTCTGATTCAGAAAATATCCAGCGACGAAGACGTTTGTAAGCGCTGTCAAAATAATCAAAATCGGTTGAACGTATCCAAGAGCGTAAACTTCAAAGTCAAAAATTTCGAAATAATACTCGTCATAGTTGTAGTTGTAGTAGTAATAATAACTAGGGTAAGGTGATACGTTACTGGCACTGTATAAATGCTTGCCGGTAATCTTATCAACGTCTGAGATATTTCTTAAAGTTACGTTCTCAACCATTTCATCAACTGTAACAGTGTCAACTCTTCCAAATTCCGCAGTTGAACTATCCATTTTTTGCTTTCTAGTTATACTAATGTTGAGTAATGGAAACAATTCTGGTAGAATTTAAAATATTTTTATTATATATAGTAACGCTTTTTTTTCATAATTTTGTCGTGTAACCATCCGCCTTCTGCCGCGCAAAATGAACTACTGCCGTTTACTTTTTGACTAACTATTAATTAATTTCCAAGATAAGTGCTCTTGAATTTCTTTCCTCTTTTTAAGCTGACATTAACCAATATTATCACGTAAACAATATGTTTTTTAAATGAACATCAGCCGTTCTGTATACTCTATGTGACGGGTCTAGTGCTATTTAATTTGAAATACGCACATTGTACAAGACTGAGCTCTACTCATGTGAATTATTCAAAAGAAAGGTCTTTATTCCTTCTATTCAGTTCGACTGTATGTCAGAAAAACTAACGTCTTTGCAAGTGTAAATTTCTCTTAGCTTTACGGATAAAAGCATACTAAATTAAGTTAAAAACTGGAATCATTTGAGCATTCATTGTGCGTATTTGACCCAAAAATATCTGCTTGAAATAATAATTACCCGAACTGGAAATGTAGGTGTTGCACACACGCTTTAAATTTACACGTTCTTATCATTATGACGATTTTATCTACTTTAAGTTCATCAATCATTGTATTATCTGTATTAATACAAACCTGTTGGCAAGCATAGTATCAAATCTTGAATTAAATAACAAGTGGTACATGCATTAGGCTTGCCCAACAAAGTTTAGAGGTTATTGTTTAATATTACAATCAGAACTGATCAGTCAGCCAGACATACTAAGGGTCAAATTGTCTCATTTTAGTCTTGCTCAAGTTCAAGAAATCAAATTTGGGAAATCGAATTCAAAGCTGTACGTTAAGCAAGCCTTATATAGAAAGATGTAACATTAAGTTTCTAAAAATGAAAATTACAAAAAAAAATGAAAGCAATTTTTAGATTGTGCCAAGAAAATTCATAAAATTTAGACAGTGATCGACATTTTTTTACAAGTTGCACAGTGTCAATGTGACCTTGTCTGTATAAGATAAGATAAAGGAAACATTTAAGATATATAAAGCGTTCTTTCGTCGTTTATTTCATATTAGCATTTATTTTTAGTGTTTTGTCATAGATTATAATTGATTATGACATCAAACCTTAATGCTTTTGACACCGTATTTGTTATTCTATGAGAATGAATATTGTAGGGATACTTCCCATAAACTTTTTTGTCTGGGAAGACATCAGATTAATTATCAAAGGTCTACTGGTTATACTTTTTCGAGGTGTAATTTCTCTTTGATAATTGATCTTGGACATTGAGTCTCATGTTAACTTGTCTTTCTCCATTGTTTTATCAGACATTTGGGATTAGTAGTCGGTCATTTTCCAAGATATTGTTAATTATTGGTTTCTTTGATCGACCGCTAAGATATGCCCAAACTTGTGTGTTAAAATCGGCGTAGAAGCACAAATAAACGATATTACTCCTTATTTATATTTTTTTAAACTTGCATCCAGAATATTTAAAAAAATCAAACTTTTGGGAAACGCACTAAGATTGTATGAAAAGTAAAAATATTCAAGATTCAAGTAATAATAATTTAACTTTTGTGCGATTAATGACTGATTTTGCAGTATTTATCACCATATTGCTACTGCGTTACTAACACAGTAAAGGCTATTTTTTATATTTCGACCCTTCTTGTAATTTATGTGGATTGTAAGTGCCGTTTGCAACATATAAAATACTTTCTTTGTTTGCTTTGCAATATTTTACTTTTAAACACATTTTCAAAATTATTATGAAAATGAGCGTGCTGCTTTAACTGTTTCGATGTTTGTTATTGTTTAACTCTTTACCTACTGAGAACAATCATCACAGTTGCCTTTGCAACCAGTTTGCTGTCAGACTTAGATACCGAGTACCTTCATGTCAGGTACTGAGCTGATTTGCGGTCACAAAAACAAAACAAATTTAATCAGACAATATTAGACAATAATTATCCCAGCATGCAATGGACTGATAGTTATTTGTAGGTAGAAAGGTTTCAAGTCCATAATAGCTAATACGATTTGTGTTGTGAATCGTAATAATAACTAGAAGTGTGTAGATTGAACACATACAAATGCATACCCACTTTACTTGCTTTTTCAATGACTATTTACATAATGAACATTTAACTTATTATTATTAATATTATTATTATTTTGCCCCAACCTCAAGTCCCCTTCCCCTACATCTTTTACGTTTGTTGACCTATTAACTAACTATCTTTAATTTCCTTTTCGGTTTCTATAATTGCCTATTATGCATTAATCACCACGTCCGTACTTTGTATTGTATTCTGTTCTGTTTTTGTTTGGTGTCCTGCTTGACTCCTTGCTGGTCGTCCTGAGTTGCTGGGTAGTGTGGTGGTTGCGTTCATTGAACGACACTCTTCCTCGATGATGTTGCTTTTCTATATTTTAGGTCATGCCATGTATAAATCTTTGGACTTAAATTCTAACCATCTTCATAGAATGTTAGTTTTTGTGCACTGATTTAAGGCCTGATCAACTATAAATTATATACACCTTTTATTGTTTTAGATTTTGTACTAACAATATGCAGTATGACATCATGCCATGACATATAGACTATTTCTGAATCATTTAGTTTGTGCTTTATGATGCATGGCCATTTAAGCAATAACTGATCACTTTAGCAAATACACTACCATTATATATTTAAAAATTTAAAATATTTGTAGCTTAAATAGATATATTTACTTATTCTTTCATAGTACCGTTATAATATAGAGAAAATAAAACTCCCTAAAGGAAGTTCAAAACAACAAAATTGAAAATGTTGCAGGCTCAGTTTGATTGGGTCTGTTCATAAACGGTACTTTCAAATGCAAACTAAGTCCACGCCCCGCTAGCACCGACTTAAGCAGGATTCAACAATAATAGCATTATTTTAGAGTTGTTAGATTTTTCTATCGGCGTCGTTGATTCCAATTCGTATACGACTGAATATTGAAAAACTGTTTAAGCCAGTGTTGGGGGGTGTAACGTATATAGTTATTTCTATTAATTTCCTTGAACATGCTCGGTAACATGCAGTCTGCTCTTTTCACATATTTGGTTTTCTTTTGTTTTATAGTGCTATAGAGGGATATTTTCATTTTTCCAGATTGAACACACAACAGCAGGTGTAAAGTTGTAAATGATAGCCCCTTACTTCATGCCAGTGTTGTTTTATTTGCGGGTCATTCGGGATCATTGATTCTAATGCGTATGCTGGCAATTGAATATACCTTAATCCGATTCTAGGGAAATGTGAGAGATGTTTCACCTGTATTACCTCTTCTTTACCGACTCAATCAAACCGAGTCGCAAATGACATCTGTTCCTTTTGATTTAAGTTCTCTTTTTTAGCATAATTCTTGATCATGGTTCTCATTTAAATATGTCAACATATGTCAACATATACGGTTCTTTAAAAGCGTAAAGGAATATTAAGTTAACTAAGCAGCGTCACTGTTACATTTTCCTTGGTTTATTATCAAACTTGAAGCTCATTAATGGCCAAAAATAGATTTTTTACAAAGTCAACATCCGTTCCAATTTCATTCGGATCTTTATTTAAAAATGTTACCATATTGATTACATTTCAAGAGCTTAAAAATAGATTTTTTCCATATTTTTATTAGATAGATACTTTACATACATTATATAATCATTTACACCAAAGGTTAGCAGGACATGGATATATAGCTGTTAAGTTCATGGAAATTATCTATAGAATATATTTATATATTCAAACTTAAGCATTATATAGTTATAAAATTTGAAGAAAATAATTATGTACACGAAGATAGGGGTTTCGTCATACAAGTCATGCAGTTGTGTTCGGAAACCTTTTTCAAAAAAATAAAAAAATATATAAGCTCAACACACGTTTTGTGCGATATCATTTCAAGCTAATGATGCTGTTTCTTAAGCCTAAACAAAATGTACCCCAATCTAGCCAAAAGCGGCACACTTGCATTTATATAAACTAAATCCAAGATAATGATTTAAGTTATTTACATATGAATATTTTCTGTTCTCTTTACATAAACACGTCGTCATTCATGGCATCATCTCTCCCTCTGCCTCCGGCTGTATCATTATAGTTTATCTGGTCGTATCCTCGGGTCGGTGTCAAAGGAATTACAGCGTGAACATTCTCCGATGTTGTCGAGTGCACGGACGTTGTTCTGCTAAAAACCCTGTTTCTGCTGGCAATAGAACTAGTACGTGATAGAGAAGTCTGAACGCTCCCGCCCCTAGATGACCACGATATCGACCGTAGACGGGCTAAGCTCCGTTTGAATGCTCCGCATGATAGAATTTTGAACACTTCATACCGGAAATCGCGCATCATGAAACAGTATATCCAGAAGTTGGCACTGAAACTAACATTTAGTGCAAGTTCGTAAATGCATATAATGATGTGGTTTTCTCTGGGGTTTATTGCTTCGTATTCACCCATGTGCTTGTTTATGACAAAAACAAGTCTGTATATACCATGAGGAAGTTCAGGTATGAGGAAGAACAACACAATAAGAGCAGCGGTGTACGTAATAATTTTGTCTCTTGAAGATCGACTGACACTTCTTCTATGAGACATCGTAGACACTCTTTCTTGCGCCGTTCTCAGCTCTAATATTGTGACAATAGTAAGCCAAACCAATAAAAAGCACGGCAAGAGATGCTGTAAAGCTACGCAGAACCAAAGATACATGCATGATTCTTTACAGGGTGTTTCAGTCTGCCACCGGCATCGATTATGTCCTATTTTATTGTCCACCAAATGGTATGAATGCATCACTATTGCACCGCAATACATGACAACTATACTTGTAAAGGTTTTCCAAAATGTACAAATGCGTCCCGAAATAAAGGGATGACAAACACACATATATCTCTGAATACAAAGCACCACCGTCTGCCAGACGGACACGGTATGGAACAACGGGGATATATAAAACCTCGAAATCATGTAGGCATTGCACATATCTCTTGTAAAAAATTCGTTTTGGGCTATATAAACACCGATACTATTCGGTAGCAACGCCACTCCTGTCATTGTATCTGAAAATGCAATGCTCACAAACAACAAGTTGGTTGCCTTTCCTCGGTTTTTATTCGTCAAGAAATATATCGCAACAAAGAAGTTTGTAAGCGCTGTCAGAATAGTCAATATCAGTTGAACGTGTCCAAGTGTGTATCTTTCAAACTCGTAAATTTCGAAATAGTACTCATCATCAGGGTAATATAAGTCATATACGTCCGTTCCGTTGCCTGTAATGTTGTCACCTTCATCATCATTAAACGAATAATCGTCAACAGTGGTGTTGTAGCCTGTATCGTTCCCACCGGATACGTTGTCTACAGAATACGTGATGATTGTGTTGTCAAAACTGTTTGCAGTACTGTATTCATCATAAGCCATTGTTGTATTATCCATATTTTTAATTTTTGTATTATAAAATGTATACTCTTAGTTTTATAACACCTTGACCACTTGCCTGCTGTAGCACAATTATCAAGAGCTGTTAATTTGTCAATGACTAACAATTAATTAATTTCCGTATGTGATTGTTAAAAATGACAAGCTAATTGTTTCTCGCTTACTGTTGAAAGTTTTTACACTTTCCAAATAATACAAAGTTCAGTTATAACTGGCTTTAATGTAAAGTTTACTCTCTCGTGTACACAAATGTACATTTAGAGTTTTAAATTAGAAAGCAAGTGATAGAAAATATCAAAGATGTACAGTTTTATTCAACACAATCACGGCTATTCAGGAAGCGAAATCTTCAATTTTAAAAGCATGTCTAAAGCTTGTTAAGTAATGAGTGTTCTAAGTGCATAACCGCAAATCAGATTTTATTGTCGCCCTGAAGTCTTGGGCGGCGTGTTACAATTTAGTATAATAACCATGATTCCTAACGGAACATCCGTGTTTATAACAACTATCTCTGTGAAAAGGTCAACAATCTGTCGATTGCACATCATCATTTTAACAATACATTGTATATGGAAAACAGTGCAAAGTCAGTAAAATAAAAATATGATGTCCATTTTCTGTGTCTGTTCGGAAAAAGAGTATTTGAAGAATAAAGTCATGTCGGCGGTCCATTAGTAAACAATGCCATAGGTCGTCTCCGGCACATAAAACGGAAAGTATGAAAAAAGATGATGAAGATTTATGCTAAAAGAATCAATTGAAAATCGTTATTAAGTGTACTTTATAGTCCAGTTTGAGGTCAAGACATTACACAGGTTTAGTATTTAGGTTATTTTGCACAATACAAATTATTGTTCTGGATCTGACATTTAGCACACAAGTTATCGGTACAGAGCTATATCACATGGTTTAAAATATCAAAGAAATATGTTCTAGTAGTGTGCATTTCTTATACATCGAAGTATTCCTTTCGTCTAATGGTCAATTGTGCGTGAAAACCTTCCATTTGAAACGACTGCAAAAATTCAATCATTTACTAAAGCCCGTCTCACACAAAACATGGTTGGGCGTATATCACACAAAACACACAGCTTAAACGGTCGCACACTTTCGGTTACGGTCTTGTACGGTCGTTTATACAATCATACACGACCATTACATCCGTACCAGTTTTTTAAAAGTTTTAAAAATGATACACGGCTAAAACGGATACACACGAATGGCCCGAGTGTAACTCGGTTAAACGGATGTATATACGGTTTACACGATTGGCCAACCGTGTCTGTGGATTAGTTGGCACAAGTTATACTCGAATGTAGCACGGGAATGTACGAATAAAGGACGGGTATACTCGGTCAAGCCAGGTTTGAATACGATTTGCATACGAATACATACGGTTCCAAGTCTAGTATGGTCTGGTACGATTAAACACAAATTTTACTCGATTTACTCGACTTTCACAGGGTTTACATAGGGTCCCGTCGACTTTTGGTCGAGTGATGCTCGAATTATCACATATTCGAGTATGTTTTGATATAAATTGACCCATTCTGATGACTTTGCTTCATTGTTCGAACTTTCAACGAAGAAAGACCTATATATATGATTAAAAGTTATATAAAACAATGCCAAATGCAACAGATGACAGGATAATGGAATTGGAAATCATGATAAGACTGATAGACTGTCCTCCAGCTCATCAAGCTCGGCAGGGTCAACAGGTTGGAGTGGCCGGCGGGCCTGGATGGCCCTTCTTGTATTCCTTCTAAGCATGGGAACCTTCTTCATTGGATGCATCATGAAGACGAACACCATGGAGGTGTCAATTATAAAGACGAACACCGGGGGGTATCAAACAATGAAGAATCACATAAAGTGAATAGATACAGAGATTAGAATGGTCATGTATTTGTAGCATATTTTAGCAATTCGTCACGTACATCTCATCAACGGAGGGTAGTGTAACTTTCGGTTCAAATGCAATTATTAAAGTCGACAAAGTACGTCATAGGTGCTGTTTGGATCAATTTAACATATGCATATAGCTACTTATTGTATAAAATGACTAATTGTTGAACTTTGAACTTTTCTTTCTTCAAACAATGGGTATGTCAGGTTCTGAGCTGATTCGCGGTCACAACAACAAAACAAATTTAATCAGACAATAATTATCCCAGCATTCCAAAAATTGATAGTTAATTTTAGTTTTGTGTTGTGAATCGTAATAATAACTAGAAGTGTGTAGATTGAACACATACAAATGCATTTCCCACTTTACTTGCCTTTTCACTAACATATTTACATAATGAACTTTGAACTTTTTATTATTATTATTATTATTATTATTTTACCCCCCACCTCAAGTCCCCTTCCCCTACACCTTTTACGTTTGTTGGCCTATTAACTAACCATCTTTAATTTCCTTTTCGGTTTCTATTATTGCCTTTTATGCATTAATCACCACGTCCGTACTTTGTATTGTGTTCTGTTCTGTTTTACTTGGTGTCCTGCTTGGTTCCTAGCTGGCCGTCCTGAGTTGCTGGGTAGTGTGGTGGTTGCGTTCATTGAACGACACTCTTCCTCGTTGATGTTGCTTTTTTATATTTTAGGTCATGCCATGTATAAATCTTTGGACTAAAACTCTAACCATCTTCATAGAATGTTAGTTTTTGTGCACTGATTTAAGGCCTGGTCAACTATAAATTATATACACTTTTATTGTTTTAGATTTTGTACTAACAATGTGAAGTATGACATCATGCCATGACATATAGACTATATCTGAGTCATTTAGTTTGTGCTTAATGATGCATGGCCATTTAAGCAATAACTGATCACTTAAGCAAATACACTACCATTATATATTTAAAAATTTAAAATATTTGTAGCTTTAATAGATATATTTACTTATTCTTTCATATTACCGTTATAATATAGAGAAAATAAAACTCCCTAAAGGAAGTTCAAAACAACAAAATTGAAACTGTTACAGGCTCAGTTTGATTGAGTCTGTTCATAAACGGTCCTTTAAAATGCAAACTAAGTCCACGCCCCGTAGCACCGGATTAAGCAGGATTCAACAATAATAAGTTTTTGTCAGAGTTGTTAGATTTTTCTATCGGCGTCGTTGATTGCTGAATATATTATTACTGTTTAAGCCAGTGTTAGGGGTGTAACGTATATAGTTATTTCTATTAACTTCCTTAAACATGCTCGGTAACATGCATTCTGCTCTTTTCACATATTTGGTTTTCTTTTGTTTTATGGTGCTATAGAGGGATATTTTCATTTTTCCAGATTCAACACACAACAGCAGGTGTAAAGTTGTAAATGATAGCCCCTTACTTCATGCCAGTGTTGTTTTATTTGCGGGTCATTCGGGATCATTGATTCTAATGCGTATGCTGGCAATTGAATATACCTTAATCCGATTCCAGGGAAATGTGAGAGATGTTTCACCTGTATTACCTCTTCTTTACCGACTCAATCAAACCGAGTCGCAAATGACATCTGTTCCTTTTGATTTAAGTTCTCTTTTTTAACATAATTCTTGATCATGGTTCTCATTTATATATGTCAACATATATATATATATAAATACGGCTCTTTAAAAGCGTAAAGGAATATTAAATTAATTAAGCAGCGTAACTGTTACATTTTCCTTGGTTTATCATCAAACTTGAAGCTCATTAATTGCCGAAAATAGTTTTTTACAATGTCAACATCCGTTCCAATTTCATTCGGATCTTGACTACATGTCTGTTTTTCAAAATGTTACGATATTGATTACATTTCAAGAGCTTAAAAATAGATTTTTTCCATATTTTTTATTACATAGATACTTTACATACATTATATAATCATTTACACCAAAGGTTAGCAGAATATGGATATATAGCTGTTAAGTTCATGGAAGTTATCTACAGAATATATTTATATAGAAACTTAAGCATTATATAGTTATAAAATTTGAAGAAAATAATTATCTACACGAAAAAAGGGGTTTCGTCATACAAGTCATGCACCTTTTACAGAAATAAAAAAATATAAGCTCTAAACACGTTTTGTGCGATATCATTTCAAGCTAATGATGCTGTTTCTTAAGCCCCCAATCTAGCCAAACGCTGCACACTTGCATTTATATACATGTATAACTTAAACCAAGATAATAATTTAAGTTATTTACATATGAATATTTGTCTGTTCTCTTTACATAAACACGTCGTCATTCATGACATCATCTCTCCCTCTGCCTCCGGCTGTATCATTATAGTTTATCTGGTCGTATCCTCGGGTCGGTGTCAGAGGAATTACAGCGTGAACATTCTCCGATGTTGTCGAGTGCAAGGACGTTGTTCTGCTGAAAACCCTGTTTCTGCTGGCAATAGAACTAGTACGTGATAGAGTAGTATGAACGCTACCGCCCCTAGATGACCACGATATCGATCGTAGACGGGCTAAGCTCCGTTTGAATGCTCCGCATGATAGAATTTTGAACACTTCATACCGGAAATCGCGCATCATGAAACAGTATATCCAGAAGTTGGCACTGAAACTAACATTTAGTGCAATCTCGTAAATGCATATTATGATGTGGTTTTCTGCGGGGCTAATTGCGTCGTATTCACCCATGTGCTTGTTTATGACAAAAACAAGTCTGTATATACCATGAGGAAGTTCAGGTATGAGGAAGAACAACACAATAAGAGCAGCGGTGTACGTAATAATTTTGTCTCTTGAAGATCGACTGACACTTCTTCTATGAGACATCGTAGACACTCTTTCTTGCGCCGTTCTCAGCTCTAATATTGTGACAATAGTAAGCCAAACCAATAAAAAGCACGGCAAGAGATGCTGTAAAGCTACGCAGAACCAAAGATACATGCATGATTCTTTACAGGGTGTTTCAGTCTGCCACCGGCATCGTACATGTCCTATTTTATTGTCCACCAAATGGTACGAATGCATCACTATTGCACAGCAATACATTACCACTATACTAGTAAAGGTTTTCCAAAATGTACAAATGCGTCCCGAAATAAAGGGATGACAAACACACATATATCTCTGAATACAAAGCACCACCGTCTGCCAGACAGACACCGTATGAAACACCGGGGAGATATAAAACCTCGAAATCATGTAGGCATTGCACATATCTCTTGTAAAATTTACTTTATTGGCTATATAAACACCGATACTATTCGGTAGCAACGCCACTCCTGTCATTGTATCTGAAAATGCAATGCTCACAAACAACAAGTTGGTTGCCTTTCCTCGGTTTTTATTCGTCAAGAAATATATCGCAACAAAGAAGTTTGTAAGCGCTGTCAGAATAGTCAAAATCAGTTGAACGTGTCCAAGTGTGTATCTTTCAAACTCGTAAATTTCGAAATAGTAATCATCATAAGCGTAATATATGTCATATACGTCCGTTCCATTGCCTGTAATGTTGTCACCTTCAACATCATCAAACGGATAATCGTCAAAGATTGTTTTGTTGTAGCTTGTATAGTTCCCAACTGTTACGTTGTCTACAGCATACGTGATGGTTGTGTTGTCAAAACTGTTTGCAGTGCTGTATTCATCATAAGACATTGTTGTATTATCCATATTTTTAATTTTGTATTATAAAATTTTACTCTTAGTTTAACAACACCTTGACCACTTGCCTGCTGTAGCACAATTATCAAGAGCTGTTGATTTGTCAATGACTAACAATTAATCAATTTCCGTATGTGATTTTTAAAAATGACAAGTTAGTTATTACTCGCTTACTGTTGAAAGTTTTTACACTTTCCAAATAATACAAAGTTCAGTCGTAACTGGCTTTAATATAAAGTTTACTCTCTCGTGTACACAAATGTGCATTTAGAGTTTTAAATTAAAAAGCAAGTGATAGAAAATATCAAAGATGTACAAATTTATTCAACACAATCACGGCTATTCAGGAAGCGAAATCTTCAATTTTAAAAACATGTCTAAAGCTTTTTAAGTAATGAGTGTTTTAAGTGCATAACCGCAAATCAGATTTATTGTCGCCCTGAAGTCTTGGGCGGCGTGTTACAATTTAGTATAATAACCATGATTCCTCACGGAACATCCGGGTTTATAACAACTATCTCTGTGAAAAGGTCAACGATCTGTCTATTGCACATCATCATTTTAACAATATATGGAAAACAGTGCCAAGTCAGTAAAATATGATGTCCATTTCCTGTGTCTGTTCTATAGTTCATTTGAAAAAAAAAGTATTTGAAGAATAGATAAAGTTATGTCAGCGTTCCATTAGTAAAAAATTAAATAAGCTATATCACAGGGTTTAAAATGTCGAAAAAATATGTTCTAAAAATCCGGAGTCAATGGAGTCTCTTTTTGAACTTACAGATACACCAAAAGAATTTAGATTTTGTGCCACGTTTTAAAGGAGTTATCATTGTTTACTGTTGTCTGTGTAACATGTTTTATACACTCGAGACTTCCTGAGCGAACCCCTGATTTCAACGACTGTCTGTCTTATAGACCTTTTAATATTTGAATGAACTAAAGGCGAATATTATAATCTTAGGGTACATGTAGTGTGCATTTCTTATACCTCGAAGTATTTCTTTCGTCTAACGGTCATTTTGCGTGAAAAGCTTCCATTTTAAACGACTGCAAAAATTCAATCATTATTAATTTGAAACTTTAAATAAACGTCAGAACTACCTGTATTGTATATCGTTGAGAAAGAACCACTCTTTACATTATTGTTAAAGAATGTGCATCATTGTTTTGGCCTTATTCTGAGTACAAATTTCGTCTAATATGTAATAGTATGAATTGTTCGTTCGGTAGAAAGTTAACATTAGATATTTGTATGGTAATACCATGTAAAACATTAATGATATTTGTAAGGTATCACTAGGAAGCAGGGAAAGCTAATGATATTTATGAAGTTTGTGAACAACCTATAGCTTGCGTATGCTTAACAAGATCGTCAGCTGAGTCAAAGCGTTTTCCACGCAGCTGTGATTTGAGCTCCAGGAACACACGGAAGTCCATCGGAGCGAGGTCCGGGCTGTATGGAGGGTTTCTTCTTTCTTTAAAACGAGCATTGTAGGATAACGGTAATTAGCCGGTAATTAGTCAACAATACATAGGCGGATATATATTAAATTTAATGAGCTGTCAACGGACACTTGCTTAATTTAGTTAATTAATGAGCCTGTCATCACTTAAGCGGGGAATTGTACCTTTTGTACCTATATCGTGCAAACATAATTGGTTATTTAATTGTTAGCTGTCCATAAATGGATATATACTCTATGAATTATTAAGCTATTTAAGTCTTAGGCGTAAAATATTTTAGTTTATAAGGTGAGCGAAATATTAGATTCTTTAGTGTAGTTTTTGATGTTAAAACAGACTCACTCACTTAGGTTAAATTATGCTAAATACGCAATTGACATTAATTCTTATTGTTTTACGTATTTGTATAAGAATTGTAAAATTGTTAAAGACATTGTTTAAGCAATTGTGTTATCTTCTAGAATAATATTTTATATTAAATAAATACATATATATGACATTTATAAACTTGATTGTGTTGACTTGTTCATATTGAGTTATTCAGATCTGAGCGTTACACTACAGCATGCCATCTATACACTGTAGCCGGACTGCATTTCTTGTATTTTCCTGTAGAATTGATCATTTTCATTGTTTCTGTGGAAGACTTTTCCAGCGCAACACAAAATTTCACGATGCTTCGCAATTCACGTCACCTATCGACGTCATGTTGTTTACTCAGTGGCTCTGGGCAACAACTTTAAAACAATGTTGATCCGTTGAGAATTTAAATAACGTTATGATATTTTCAGGAAATGACGTCATTACGTTCCGCTGCTGACCAGCGTTTTCGCGCATTTTTTACGTTATCAAAATTACGAAATATTATTAGTGTAGCGCGTTATACCTTTCTTTAGAGTCGGACTGCTCCGGTGCGGCGTTATAGTGTTGCTATGGTTACTGCTATTTCCGGCTATTGTTGTCTGATTCTATTCAATTTTTAGGAATAGTTCCGTGATATGCTAATCTTAGTATGTGCAAAATATTACGTCTTAGAAACAAAAAATATAGGAGATATGACAAAATTCCCAGAACTTCCCGAACAACCCACGTACTGTCCTGTCTTTGCCAGTATTTTGACCGCTCGTCCTTGCATTGTCTGGTTCTCTGCCTACATTTACTTAAGCCCGTCTCACACAAAACATGGTTGGGCACATATCACGCAGAACACATGGCTTAAACAGTTGTATATACGGTCTCACATGGTCTTATACGGTCTTGCACAGTCGTTTATACAATCATACACGGACATTACATCCGTACCAGTTTACGGTTTACACGAGTGGCCAAACGTATAAGCCGTGACTGTGTTCTGTGTTAAGCCCATCTCACACAGGACACACGGCTTATACGGTTGGCCACCCGTGTAAACCGTACATACAACCGAACTAACCGTAGCGTTATCCGAGTTACACTCGGGCCATTCGAGTGTATCCGTGTAAGCCGTGTATGATTTTTAAAACTTTTAAAAAACTGGTACGGATGCCATGTCCGTGTATGACCGTATAAGCGACCGTACAAGACCGTAAGAGACCGTGTGAGACCGTATGAGACCGTATATAAAGCCGTATTTGAAGTCCACTCCACGAGTGAGCCAACCGTATCAAGGTCGTATATAAATCGTATGGAATCGTTCGAGACCGTCCTCAAGTCCTACATCCAACACCCTATTAACACCCGACTGTCACAAGATCACGGTACGATTCAAACGAGTGCAGACACGGTTTCATACGACCGCCATACGACCAATACGGTTCATATACGAAACATACATGGCCGACACGGTAAAGTACGGGTATACACGGTCTCACACTGCCTCGTACGGTCTAACACGACCTCTACGTCAGCAAGAACGGTACAAAAACACAACTACCTGTTGCCACCCTACTAAGAGTACTTGCTGCATCACACTAGAATGTATCCAAAGAAGAAAGTTTGGATGCACAGAAGGAATACAAGAAGGGCCATCCAGGCCCACCGACCACTCCAACTTATTGACCCTGATGAGCTGGAGGACCAACCGGCAATAACCATGTTTCCCAGGGATTCAGACCCAAATGCCAACTCGGTGGACCCTCCAGCAACCGCTGCACCAAAGAAAAAAAGACACATTTTACATTGCTTCACCTTTTTATTCATTTATTGATGTTTATGATCTATATATAGATGTTCTTCGTTGAAATTTCGAAAATTTATGAAATCAAGACATCAAAATGAGTTAATGTATATCAAAACATACACAAATGTGTAATATTCCGAGCATAACTCGAACACAAGTCGGTGGGACCCTATGTAAACCCTGTGAAAGTCGAGTAAATCGAGTAAAAGTCGTGTTTAATCGTACCAGACCGTTCTAGACCGTACTTGGAACCGTACAACAGTCGTATGTATTCGTATGCAAATCGTGTTCAAACTTTGCTTGACCGAGTATATCCGTGCTCAATTCGTACATACTCGTGCTATATTCAAGTAAAATTCGTGGCAACTAATCCCCAGGCACGGTTGGAGCTCAAAACTCGTACCAGTCAACCCGTGTATCACCGAGTATACCGTATGGGGATTGTGTGCCCAACCGTGTTTTGTGTGAGACGGGCTTTATATGGACTTAAAGTCCGTCTCAGAACAAGGTTGGACACGTTATATTCGTTTATACCCGGATTGACTGTTACGAGTATTTAGCTCCAACCGTGCCTGGGGATTAGTTGGCACGAGTTAGACTCGAATGTAGCACGGGAATCTACGAATAAAGGACGGGTATACTCGGTCAAGCCAGGTTTGAATACAATTTGCATACGAATACATACGATTGTTGTACGGTTCCAAGTACGGTCTAGTATGGTCTGGTATGATTAAACACAAATTTTACTCGATTTACTCGACTTTCACAGGGTTTACATAGGGTCCCGCCGACTTTTGGTCGAGTGATGCTCGAAATATCACATATTCGGATATGTTTTGATATAAATTGACCAATTCTGATGACTTTGCTTCATTTTTCAAACTTCCAACGAAGAAAGACCTATTTATATGAATAAAAGTTATATAAAACAATGCCAGATGCAACAGATGACAGGATAAGGGAATTAGAAATCATGATAAGACTGATAGACAGTCCTCCAGCTCATCAGGCTCGACAGGATCACCAGGTTGGAGTGGCCGGCGGGCCTGGATGGCCCTTCATGTATTCCTTCTATGCATGGGAACCTTCTTCATTGGATGCATCATGAAGACACACACCATAGGGGTATCAATGGTGATGGAGGGTATCATCATTGACGACCAACACCACTGGGTATCAACAATGAAGACAAACACCATGAGGGTATCAATAATGAAGACAAACACCATGAGGGTATCAATAATGAAGACAAACACCATGGGGGTATCAATAATGAGGACAAACACCATGAGGGTATCAATAATGAAGACAAACTCCATGAGGGTATCAATAATGAAGACAAACACCATGAGGGTATCAATAATGAAGACAAACACCATGAGGGTATCAATAATGAAGACAAACACCATGAGGGTATCAATAATGAAGACGAACACCATGGAGGTGTCAACTATAAAGACGAACACCGTGGGGTATCAATAATGGAGACGAACACCATGGAGGATAAAGACGAACACCAGGGGGAGGGGTATCAAACAATGAAGAAACGCATTAAGTGAATAGATACAGAGATTAAAATGGTCATGTATTTGTTGCATATTTTAGCAATTAGGTCACGTACATCTCATCAAAGGAGGGTGTTCAAATGTAATTATTTAAGTCGACATAGTACGTCATAGGTGCTGTTTGGATCAAT